TGCAGCGGTGGGGGTGAGGGAGGGGGGGAGAGAGGGGGGAGACCAGATAAGGAGAGTCATCATTTTTGGGATGGTGAAGGAGATAAGAGTGGAGTTTTGACAGCTCCGACTGATAAGGTGGAGGAGAGGAAGAGCTCAGAGGGGGGAGGAGAGGGGGGAGACAGCTGTGAGCTAACAGGAACACATTAACCTACATACAACAGCGGCCCTGACGTCATCAATCTCATACAAAATATAAAAACCACGTGAGGATGGTGCTAATGATTCGATTTGATTTTTTATTTTCAGTCACTTTGGTTGAGTATATTTACTGACCTCTGGTCACGTCACCAGTTCAGGGGAAACTAACCAGAGATTTTAATTATTTGAAGATGAAGTTTTTTTTTTCTTTTTTATCTCTACTTTTCTCTTTCTACATCCAGACTCTCAGGTCAAAACAAACTGTAAACAAATTAAGACTGGGCTGAAAATAATATTATTTACTTTGTTGATAGATTTTCAGTGGGAAAGTAATTTTCTCTTTTCTCCTACTATATATTTGTTTTCGTTAAATTTTCAAGTGTAACTATTTTAATTGAAATAAAATTTAAAAAAAAGATCGTCAATAAGGTTAAATAAAGAAATATATCTCTAGGACAGGATTCGAACATTTTGAAAAGATACAGTGTAAATAACTGCAGGTCATTTTTTTTCTACGAAAAAGACGAAAAAAAAAAGATCAAAACTGGTTCATAGTCAAATAATACTTTTTTTTTTTCGTCATACGATAAACGATTTACGTATGAACGGTTAAAAATCGGCAGTAACTGCACCAGGTGGATGTGTGGCAGCACATACACACATATATGACAAAAATATTACTACAAATATTAATTATTATACTGTGAGTAAATAACTACATACAAACACAAACATCCGGCCTGTTGCCTGGCTCGGTTCGGTTCGGTTCGGCTCATCCACTTACATCAGGTAATGAGTCAGTGAGTGAGTGTGTGAATAATGACGTTGCAGTTTCCCTCTGCACCGCGGGTTCATGCGGAGTTCACGGCAATAATTCATCCCAGCTCCCACGACCCACTCGCGCCTGTCACGCGCGCCTATATAAAAATGTATATATTGGCAGTGCGAGTTTAAATGATCATTAGCACTTGCGCATGCGTCTAATATTGATATCAGGCCTGTGCAGAACAGCCCTCAGCGGGGTATTATTCAGAAAATATGGATGGGGGGGCAGGTGGGGGGTGAAATGTAAGGGAGGGGAAAGGGCAATAACTCGCATCTGTTCTGGGCAGTAACGCGTCGTGTTATTGATGCAAGGAATAAAGGAAATGGAATGTTGGAGCGAGGGCGCGTGCACGGCTGCGTGCACGGCTGCAGCAGAGTCCATAAAAAAAATAAAGTCAATCCTCCAAAGTGTGCACGCTGTGACGTCGGTGTACACTGGTGTGTGTTGGTGTGTGTGTTCGATCAGTCTGTGGAAAAGTGCACATCCTGAAACACTGCTCGTGCGCGTGAGTGGGTGAGTGTCAGAGAGAGAGAGAGAGAGAGTTCAGAATCAGCATGCGTGCTGCTGCTGGTGTCATTTATTTTAAGGCTGTGAGACAAAGGGGGGAGGAAAAATGGTCCTGATAGGGAAGATGAAGAACTCCCCCCTCCGCCTCCCCCTCCTCCCTCCCTCCCTGCTCTGTTTCTTTTTTCTTTTCTTTTTTTTCTCACTCTGCGTGGGTTGCGCGTGACCGAAAAAGAGATACGTGG